GAGGGAGTATGTGAGAGAGAGAGACTGGCAAAGAGTTCATAAAAAGCCAGATCAATGGTGAATGTGTGTGCATGCTACACTTAAAAGTTTTTTTTATGGTGGAATACATCTACAGTTTTGTCTTGAATTACAGCATGACTTTACTTTTTAAACTGCCTGTATTGAGTTACTGCTGTTTAATGCAAACAGCTACAGTGATTGATTAGCGCTGTCCCAAAATCTAGTGAGATGCCTAGGCAGCATTTTAAGACATCACAAGTCTAACTTACACTGCACCAACAGATGCCAACAATCACTAGATTACAGTATGACACTTCTCAGACATTCCACGATTCGACAAATGCCATTTGAACACTTCTATCAGTGAAGACTAGCATCAACCAATGGCAATAGATGGAGATGGGTAACACACTGATCTGACAAAACAGTCTTTAGCCTATAGACACGGTCCAGATGGAACGACTGCTCTACAAGGTAGGGAAGAGCATTATGCTGCTTTATAAGATTTCTTTTTCTAAGACAATGTTACTGTACATGTATATTTCATGGATATGCCAATCCCAGAATGCACTGCGACAAGCTCAGTGAAAAGATTAGAGAAAATGTCAACTATAAATACTCATACTCAATACTAAAATGAAGTGCTGGACGAGCTAATCAAAAATGTTTAGTAGTTTAATAAATAGCTTCGCTATGCAGTAATGCTGATTCCTAATATTAGCAAAAATATAAAATAATTAAATGTAGTGAAAATTCTTACCCCATATTTGTGTGATATGTCGTTTTACAGTTACTAGAGTTGTTTTTAGCTTAGCAACATGTAGTTCCCTGTGAAATCAGTCATTATTTTGTTTCCATTTCAGGGAAATGTTGCAATTGTAACCAAGGTTACTAAAGCCCATATTAAACCTGTAAAAGAAAGAGAGAATTATTATAATGCACATATAATATATTTGATTATATTATTTTAATGTTTTAGAGATCAAATATTGCTGAAGAAACTTCGTAAATGTCACAAACTAGAAAAGAAATTAAATTAAACAATTAGAAATAGCTCCGCCCTTAGTGGGTTGCGTCATCTCTAGCGCTAAATAGAGGTGAATAGTCTCTCGTCACAGAGTGAAGTGAAATGGCCGCTGGAGCAGTGATGCGTGTCAGTTGCAGTTCTGAAGTTAAGAAAGTAAGTGAGAAATACTAGATTAACAATTGAAATTCATAATTAAAACATTAAAACGCTAGCAGGAAGTAGTTGTTTAAATAGTTCTAATCGCGTCTGTATTAACTCCAAGGGTTAAACGAGAAGATAAGCTGATTCATCTGACGGAAACTGCATAAAACAGATTTTCCTTGATTCATCTGAGGTTATTTCTAATCGTTATCATTTTATTCTTGGTAAGTGAGCTCATAAGCTACCATGTTTAGTTATGGTTTTTGCATTTGTTTGTCTTTTGCGGAGTTAAGTGTTCTTAAATGATACTGTGATTTGTGAAATATGTGAAATATGTTAAGAAATGTGAGTGAAGTGATAAATTGACTTGATTTGCTGTTTAAAATGTGTTTGCTATAAATTGACTTGATTTGCTGTTTAAAAGTGTTTATGTGCGTTTGCTAACTTTATGAGTGTAATGTAGCTCACGTGGAGTTTTGCTAACCATGCGGTCTCGTGTAGTACGAGCTATAAGCTAATCGAGTGCACATACGTCATTCTAAGACATTATTCTTCATTAATATAGTTATATTTCTGTTAAAGAAATGTGTTAAAAAGGAAATAAGTGTTGTGTATTGTGTATTGATTCATTTTAAAACATTTATTGTTGAAACTGATCATCTGAAATGGTGATGTTAATTCACTGTTCACTGTAATTAATTGTGATTTTTCGGCCTTGTCTTCGCAAGGTTGGGTTTTCTTTTCCTCCACTCTTTTCTATGTTTTGTTTCTTCTCTGTCCTTCCATATCTCTCTTTGATATTGAATGAGGAGTTTCTTGGAGTTCTGAGTTAGAACTGTTTCTGCCATCAACGAGGAGTGCTCAACATTGGTGGAAACTGGCGGGCCAACCTGGTTTTTCTTGAGCTTGGACAACGTTTCATGTTTCATCGAAGTGGTAGGACCACACATACTCATTTTTTCCTTCCCTGGATACTATCAAAACTGTGAACAAGAACTGTTTTTTTTCTTTCCCTTTTCAATCTCGGGAGTTTGCATATTGGCGTTCTTTAACTGAACACTGAAACAGGAGTACGAAGGACACTGAACTGAGCTAAACTCCTGCTTATTTACCTGAGTCATTTCCATCAAAGACAGCTAATTGAAAGGAACTCTGATTTGGTTGTCATCTGACATTTTACTTGAAGTTTATCATCCAAATTGCTGTTTTATTTTTGGTTTGTTTTTTTCCCCATCTTTTATTGAAATTGTTCTGGAAAAAGAGAACACTAAGGTTATTGAGTCCTATAACTGTACTTCGGGTTTTAAGTGTTAACTGGTTGTACCATTTATGTGAAAAAAGGAACACGGTTGTTTGATAGCTATAAACCAAACCAAGCTAGAAATTAATCTGAGTAAATAAGGAGTACCAGAACTAAGTAAAGAACTAACAGAATAACTACAGAACTAAATAACACTCAAAGAGTCGTTATCTGAGTAAAAACTGCTTTATTTCTATAATTTAATTAAAAAGGGGTTCTTTTGTTAATTTTTCCCTTTTTCTGAAGCTGTCATTTAGTTTTTTTCTTGTCTTTTCCCAACGCAAACAAATTAAAACAAAGAAATACAAAAGAAAAATACTTACCTTTTCAACTATAACCCTGTCTTGTGTTATTATTTCCCTTGTCTTGCTGCAACGCTGGCTCAAGAGCGAACGTAGTCTTCTGATCTGGTCCAAGGCATTAGAAAGTGGTTTATGTTTAGATTGTAGGTCACGTGCTACACTGGCATGAGTGCTGAATTACAATGTAAAAATAAATAATGCTTGAAAAATAATAAACAACTTAAAAATTTTTTTCCCATTATTTCATTATTTGTTTACTTGCTACTTTGTAGTTGTACCAGCTTTAAGCTTTCATTTAAAAAAAGAAGCTTTTCTATCACAATATACTACGATTTTTAAGTTAACCCAAAAAGGAAAGCAGATGAATTGGATTAATGAAAACCTTTTTCTGAATTATTTTTTTTTCATTCAATTATTATTATTATTATTATTATTATTATTATTATTATTATTATTATTATTATTATTTGGACTCACATTGTTTTCTAAAAAGGAAGAAGAAAAAAATGTCAAGATTATGGTGAAGCTTTTTTTTTGGCAGATTTTTAAAGGTTTTAAAAAATAATAAATGTGAAATGTATAATACATGTGAATTTTACAATTATAAAATTCTGCTAAAAATGTGTATTATTCAAGCTATTCAAATGATATATTTAGTTATTTTAGAGTGTGTGGTATTACAATGTCATAGCACCTAAGGTAAAATTGTATATAATTTTGTAAACACTAAAACTAAAATCATGTAAATATGTCTATGCTATTGATACAGTGAGCATTTTACTTCACTTACTTCACTTTAACGTTCACTTGTAAGTGCCACTTTACCAACTCACTGTAATGTAGATTTTTTTTTTTTGATTTGACAATTAATTCCACTAGCCAACATTTTAGTCATTAATTAAGTTCTAAGAACACCCCATGTTTGCAGTCTACAATACGAAGTACATTCTATAGACCAATTTGGAGTAGACGTCATAGTTACGTCACTTGCAGCTGTGTGTGCATTGTGGTGGCAGAAAAACACTGGCAACAAGTATTGAGAAACGGGTAAAATCCATGGAATAAGAGAAAAAAAGGTAATGCTTTAGAATAGGGAACACATGTTCACTATTAGCTAAGAGTTTTCCCTCAATAAACTCCTAATTTGCTGCTTATTAATAGTTAGTAAGGAAGGCGTTATTTTTAGGTATTGGTTCGGGACGGGTTAAGGGCTCTAGATCATGCAGAATAATGCATTAATATGTGCCTAATAAGTACTAATAATCAGCCAATATGCTAGTAATATCCATGCTAATAAGAAGCTAGTTAATACAGAGGATTGGTCCTTAAAATAAAGTGTTACCAAACAAATTGTGCCTTTGGTTGTTCAGAATCTGAATGCAAATCATTTTTATAGAATACTGTCATCAACGATGCCATTTGAATGTAAAACACAGACATTTAAACGGACAGACTACGGATGAAAATTGCTATGATAACTCTACTTTTAAAGCATAAATTTAATTTAAACAACAGGTCTACATAATATTCACATATGCAGTTCATAGGGGACATATTGTATTAGCCCTCCAGTTAAAGTATGAAATACTATTTAAACCTATAACATTTTATATAAAATGTACCTATTTTATCTCACTACGCCCACAAAAACAGTCATCACTGTTTGCAAACACCGAACTGGTCTATTATGATGCACATCACTTGTTTCATAAACTGCTGATTTACTTCACTTGAATTCATATCTATTTTAGGTGTACATGGTCATAGGGATGTAAATTCTCAAACATCACAACACAGGATATTTCTGAGGCAACAGGTTTACAAAAGTGACCAATAAAGGCTGGGTGTCCTAGTGAACCTTTGACCTGTGAATTCCCCCCATGTTGTCTTTCAAATAACCTTTCCGTATGGTACTTCCTGTCATGTGAGACAGGTCAATGCAAGCAGAGCAGAGCTCCACAGTGGGCCTGTCGCTCAAAACCCATGACCTCATCTTGACATTGCAAATTTGATTCTTCTCGGTCCAACACACCGATTGCTGAAATACCCAACAGAACTGGGTGATGTGAGAAATTCTCCAATAAAGGTAATACTGGAAGACTGCTGTCTCAGTGGAATATTCTCTAGGCATGTTGCAAAGGGACCATTTGTCTTCCTCAATGTGTATATTATCTGCCCAAACTTTCAGTTTAGGATGATTTATAACCATTGAATGGGCAGCCTGGGGTTTAAAGACTCCACACGATGGGTTTTTGTTCGTCCTAAATGAAAGAACCTTCATGTGTCTCTGGTTGTATGATAGGTAGTCACCTCAGTCAACTTTTGGCCAGTCCCCACACATTCCGACCCTCTACATTTAACCCCAATTACTTAATTTCACCAATTTTACCAATTACCTTTCTAATCGGAAAAGCATTTGCTTATGTTGCAACCCCTGGATGAAGTACAGAGGAAAGCTCTTGCCCTTATCAAAAACATTTGCTTGATCATTTCAGGATCAATTGTCCTAAATCATGTTTGGGGATAAAATGAAACAAAAATACCCCAGGACACCCAAGTCTGCATTTTGATAATGTGTGAACAAAACTTTCAAAGGTTGAACAGAAACACCTCTCACCTTTAAACACATGAGTTTTTTTCACAGCTGTAGTCTGTTTAGATATCTTGCATGACTGAATTATATTAATTCAAGCAGAGACATAAAACTCCATGGGAGACAAAGAGTGGGCCAGAGAAGGAAAGGGAGCTTGTCTCTCCAAGTTTTCAGAGCTAGTGGTTCCTTATTCCCTTGAAAGTAACTCCAAGACCTTTTAAACTCAAGAGACATGAGTAGAAAGTTTGAAAAGAAAGATTTAGGCCTGTACATTGAATTATGTATAACGTGCAAGCACTTTCAACTCAAATTGAATCAGGAGGTTCAAGTACTCTAATATAAAGTCTACTTAAAGAGTACTTAAAGGCTTTAAAATGTTGATTTTTATAGTATATGAATCTTTAAAACCTTCCCAAGTAATATTTCTTTATTTATTGTATTTACTCTAAGAATTTTGCAATGTGAGTTCAGCAAAATATTGTGCTGTTCAAGATGCAAGTTGACTTTCATTTAACTAAAGATCATTTCATGGCTATAAGAACATAGGTTACATGATGTTTGTCAAAAAGACTGACTGCAACTTGGCCAAACTGGTGACCACCTAAATGTGTTTGCATTGTATTTTCCTTTCTTGCTTTCGTGCTAAGATTATTTTTGATGAAAAGATCATGGAAAATGAGCCAGTGGACTTTATTCTTGTTTGTTCTGTGTTCCATTTCAAACAGCACTGCTCATCCTGTATGCAGTGTTTCAATATTCACAGATCTGAAGGAATACTTTAGCCATAGATTATTGAATCAGTCCATTAAACCTTCCCAGTAAGCCACTCAGGCCACACTTTAACTGACTACTCTGGTTATGCTCCTATTAGCCACATCATCTTTCATTCTCAGATCAAATGTGTTTACATGGAAGATTTGATGAGCCTGTAATGGCATATGTCCATGCCATCTGAGTGTTTATTTCAGATGTCAGTTCTATTAAGCAAACTGGGACGCTGGATGTAAAATAACTAGCTAGACAGATGTAGATAAATAGATGCAACTCAAATGAATTTAAAGATTTTTAATTGCCCAGTTTTGTACACAGTATAAACAGACAATGCTTGTGGCTCATCTGCAGACACAGTCAGTGTTTTACGAGTCTTCAGTGTGATTCGCGCCATTCGGTGTGTCCACCTCCACCTGGCAGTTACATCAAGTGTATTGTTACCTCTGTGCAGACATCTTCACAGAGCCCTGGGAGTGCTTGAGAACATGACATGAGCTAAACCCATTTCCATTTCAGGGAATAGTCTTTTAGTGGAACTTATTCAGGATGTCCAAGCTGCTTTTTTCCATACAGTGACCAAGGCTGTGCACCATGAAGAAATTAAAATTCAACTCCTGAATTTGAATTGAGGTAGTGACCAGAAATCAGAATAAAATATTAACGCAAGAAACTATAATTCAAATAAATAAAAAAACTGAGGAAGCTAAATCAAAGAAATTTCGAAAAATTGTTATCAAGTACAAGCTTTAATGGCTAGATAGATAGATAGATAGATCGATAGATAGATTCAATTTCTTTCCTTCCTTCAGTTAGATTCAAATCATCTCATGAACTGAAAGGGACACAATTATGAATTTTACACAACTTTGACAATAACTGCACCAGCATTGGTACAGCTGTGCCGCATGGCATGCATCTTGTTGGCCACATGCATCCTTCATACATAAAGTACACATGGTCACAGACAGCATTACAATAAACTTCCATGAATTCTGCAACGCCCAGTAAGGTCTTGACCACGATAAATTTGCCCTATTCTATACATGACTGGAGCTTTCAGATGGAATCCTCTCCACCTGTGGCCGATATCGCCTGCCAAGTCTACGGCTACGAACAGAATAATGAACTCTTTTTACAGAACTGTGAGTTTCATCTCTAGTCTGACCCATGAAATCATCTTTGATTTATAGACTAACATGACAGCTTGCACTGAGGGATTATACTGCAGCGCTGCAGACACCTTTAAGTGCTCAGTCTAGACTCGGGCTACATGGCTACTCCAGCCTGCTTACACTGTATATATCATAAACAAAAAGCATCGCCATGGCAATCGTCCTTCCTGATACAGCGTGAAAATAATTGTTCTATTCATCCCTCATCAGTCGCTGATGAAATAGAAGAACGAAGGCCAAGCAAGGTCCTTGTGTGTAAGAGCAGTCTGAGGTCTCAGGAATTCCCCTACTCACTATACTAACAGACGCCACAGTTAGAGAGAAAAAACAGATTCATCAGGTCATGTATTTATTTTTCAAGGACATGATGCTTTACAAAGGAAACAGCATGATGGATACGCATTATAAAGTATTTTCTTTTATTTGGCACAAACACAAAAGTGCTTTATGACAATACTGCCTTAGTAAAAGCCCTCATCAATTACAATCCATATTGTAAAACAAAGTAACTTTTCTTATCATATATTGCTGCCACTTTGATATACGCTTTAAATCATAATCTTCTTAAAAATTTGGTAAACATTCAAATAATGCTTGTAAATAAAATCAGGGCTTTTCCAGGAAATGAAGGCAGGGCAATAATTGGAAATTAAGGTTTGGCATCACTGGAAAAGCTTTCTTGCAAATGTTCTGGACATTGATGGATGACATAAGATTATGTGAAATAATAACAATCACAAGAGGCATCTGTGCCTCATTTATATGCAAATGCTCTGGTCTCACTTTCTGGAAGATTTACATAGCAATGTGATATTGGCACATGCTGAAATTGCATAGATTGTGTGGGACTGTCAATTATTTTGACAGGACAATTCAAACATTCAACCGAACCAGCATACGATAATTTCATATTACATTTCAATTTCATATTTCAAATATTTTGCTAAGAAACACGTAAGAAAGCTATAACCCATAATGTTGTATAAATAGACTGGTCTTCCCTCCACGTAATACTTATTATAATAATACAGGTTCATCACCCTTCTTGTCAATGAATTGCCTTTTATCGTTGTCATCACAGAGACAAATCCAGCTTCTTAATTTCACATTTTGGTCAGATAGGCAAGTCTTGAAGAGTTACATTTCCTCATATTTATTGAAAATAGAGAATCTTTGGTGGCAAAGCAAAAAATAAAAGTCTATATAAAAGGCAATAAAATACATTATGCAAATACAAAGTACAGCACAATCAAAAAATACTCAGAAGTTCTGTTTTGGATTTCAGTTTAAAAACGTATACATAATATATTTTATATATATAAAACCAAGCTAAAATTAAAAATCATAAATTACTTAAGCAAAAAACGAGTCTCGTCTGACTCTATCCCAAACACTCACACAATGCAAACATAACCACTGAGGTATTTTGTGCCTTAAAGTTCTATATCAAGCATTATGCATAATGAGAGTGAACGTGAAAGTGCAAAGAAGTTGTCATTTGTTGGTGGAATACTAAAACATCAAGAGTGTCAAAGCTCACATATTACAAAGTTTATCCTCTATCACGTCAAAGGAATATCCTTAGTAACAGTCACAGCAGCAATGATGTCTCCTCACTTCCTGTCACCTGTGGACAGCCGGCCTTCAGATAGCAGTCTGAGATTGTTTTTAATGTAAACGTAGAAAGGACGAAGGGCACTGGGAAATACTATACGTCAAGAACCATATCATACTGTTGTCCTTTCTTCCTCTTGCCACACTTGATAATGAGGACAGCGTACAAAGTCAAGAACACGACCCAGTAGCTGGTATACACGATTGCGCCGATTATCAAAATGACTTTTTCGGACTCCGGAAAAGGCGTTCGTGTCTCTTGGATTATTGTATAAATAATGCCAACAAAAAGAATGGTGAACCAAACTGATATCGGAATAAGTCCGATAAAGTTCACCACCACGGTCTTCCTTCCAGACGTTCCCCAACCGGATTTGTTTATGGTGGCTATTGCGAACATCTTTGCCGGTAGCAGACTCGACATGTATAACACGGAGTAGAAGGACATGAAGACCATGACGATGTTTCCGCGGAGGCAACTGGCGAATGAAGACTTGATGAGCGCCACCACCTGGACGATCAGCAGGAACAGAAGGATATTCCAGATCCTGCCCTGGTAGAAGAGCTGGATCGCAGTGGCGATGAGAAAGAAGGGGAAGAAGCCGGTGATGACGGCTTCGTAGGTCATCCACAAGTGGTGCTTGTGAAACCACATGGAGTTGTAAAGCCACTCTCTGAAATACGATTTACTCCAGCGGGTCTGCTGGTTGAGCCAGCGTAGGTAGGTAATGGGCGTCTCGGTCAAGCACTTGGAGCGGGCGGTGTATTTCGTGGCATATCCCAGGCTCAGGACTCGATTGGTCAGGTGGCGGTCATCGCCGAAACTGCAGTGGCTTCCCATGAATGTCTGATTGTACCAGTCCTCCAGGAACTCATGAAGCAGGGAGTTCCTGTACATCCCCAAGGGCCCGCTGATACATTGAACGCACCCGAAATATGACTGGCAAGCTCTTTCGATGTTGAACGCCATCCAATATCTCACACTGCTGAGGAAGGAGACCCACGATTCGTATTTGTTCAGAATCTAGAGGGACAGAATAACAAACAGGATTAAAATTCAAAGGGAATCTATAGTTCAACATACAGAATGACATATGTATGTCTTGGTCACCTGCCACATAGATGTATGGAAATAACACAGAATGTAGATTGAAACACTAAAGAACCGTGAGAAACTAGTAAAGATCTAAAGGCTCTTTGTACAGGATGCACAGTAATATGCATTTCTGTTGACATATGAACACAAAAATAGTATATTTAAGTACTTTGAACAACTTTATCGATTCACCCTGCCTCCTCCACCCCAAAGAACAACAACTGCCCTGACTATAAATCTGAAGACTGGAGTGGGGGAAAACCCTGAATTCAGATGTTACACAGATTTTTTTCAGTCCATGTAGCTATACTGAAGTCTTACTCTGTATGTAACCCACAAACAGTATGTTTTCTTTAAGTCTAACCTGTGGTTTCATAGACTTAAGCCTAGTCCCAGACTAAAATGCATGTCTGGGTTGTTTTAACTGGAAGAAACTTGCACTGACAGATCTTAAAATATGTCAGATCCATTGGTTTGTCTCAAGATGCACATCAGCAGTGTTTTTGTCTAAGGAACATTTATAAAAGTTACTTAAATGTCCTAACTGACCTATAGCCTAATCCTGGCTTAATCTAAGCCCTGTCTGTAAAACCAGGCCTAAAATACGATATGATACGATACGATACGATACAACTTTATTGTCAGACAAGGTCTGAAATTTGTCTTGCGTTACAGCAGGTTCACTCACAATTACAAAACTTTATCACATGGACAAAAGGCCGACAAAACTTTCACAATCACATAAAAAAAAAAAAAATACAAAAAAACATATACATATACATATACATATAATATATATATATATATATATATATATATATACTGTATATACACATACATTTTCAAAACTCCGGTACAGATTTAATTTTGTGTACAGATTAAGTAAAAGTAAAAGTACAGATTTATAATAGCAAATCCATTAAATATCAAAAGGAAGAATTTCCCACATGGATATTATACAATGGCACTTGTCACTGCTTTAGCTAAAATATCAAACCAAATGGTATCTACAAACAAATAATGACTTCTCAGAATTAACAGCATTTCTTCCCCCCAGTTTTAAAGAAATTGATTAATTGATTGATTGATTGATTGGATTGATTGACTTCCACTAAAACTCAACTTTGAACATTTTTAAAGTTAATGAAAAAATGCCTATATATGCTTATGTCATGTAAATTCTTGATGCTGTAGATGGATACATTAAAACTGCAAGAGAACACATACCTGTACATCTCCACCTACTCCTCCAACCATGGGATCTTCTTCCAGAACCTTCACCATCTCCACTGAGGAGGCCGGGTCCAACATGGTGTCTGAATCACATACCTGCATCCAGCACAATATACATACATCAATAAAGGATACACAAGATTTACCTTTAAAAATAAAAATGTACATATGTTTGAACAAAATGTTCTCCTAAAAATTCAGTTAAACCAGTGTTTGCACCACATGCACTGATGCATCACCTAATATCTAAATAATACCTATATAATACCTAATACCTATATAATGCCTAATATTATCATTAATATGACATGTGTTCCTTCGAAGAGATTTATCGTTGGTGCAAATATAATTTTTTTCCACAATCACATCTATAGAAACCAGCTTGTCTTTGTTTGAGTGGTCACGATGAATCAAACGTGCTGCTAAATATATTGGGACAAGTATATCAATCTCTCCTGGAGGTCATTTTAATTTATTTACATTTTTAATTTAATTTTCCATTTAAAGTTCTGGCTTACATGTTCAGTTATAGGGTCAAAAATGTAGGCTCATCAAACACGAGCACACACTGTTCAAATTTTAGTAGAGATTTGGTTTAAGTGCTCTAACATTAAAACATTAAGCAAGCATCGCCCAGAAGTTATCTCGCTTTTTCCGGGGAAAGTCATGTATGCTTTTACAACTAAACCCCATAGTGAGACTAACCACAGGCCAGGTAGAAAGATCAGTGATAAGTTAAACACAATTAGGCCTCTACACTCAGAGCAAAGGCCAGGGATCTCATTGGAACCAGGTGGCATGTGGATAAAATAACATCATTTGTTCAGTATACAAGGGAGCCTTCACAAAATTACCCATAAATGACAGCTTCAGGTTTACCTTTCTCAGAGACTGTTCACACAGAACACATACTTAATTTTCAACTTAACGCAGCTTTTCAAAAATGTGATGTTTATGCATCAAACGGCCAAATATGTAGTGTATATTTACATACAAAAACAACTAACTGAAATGCAAAAACATGTTCTGTGAGAACCGACGTTCAGATGTTCTTCTAGGTTTTGAGTTTGGTGAGCTTGAATCTTTCTTACATCAAAAGCGATTTCACAATTGTTTGGATTACATAAGAGGACATTTGATCATTAGTTTTGCTGATAAATCTTCAGAAAGACATTTTGTTGCAAATAGTTTGAAGAAAAGTAAATATTCTCACGTAGCGTTCTACCAAAGCCAGAGAAAGTCTATTTTGTGATGTGAAAACCCATGTATACAGTTGTTCTCAACTGTAAAATTCTCCTAAATAATTAGCCTCCTTTGTTTGGAGCTTGTAAAAATTCAGGAGCGGGAATTATATGTTTAGAATAAACCACCACAGAAAAGGTCCTTGGGGGTTTAATGTATTTATGTGACTTATTTATGAACATGTATTTATGTGACACGTTCCCTTGAGCTAAATAACCACTCAACGTCATGAGCTAATAGTATGTGCTCCGAGATGGCATGGAAAATACCAGCGATCTGTTCTGGAAATGCCAGAAATATCCCCGAGATATGCAAACGAATTCCCACAGAAGTTCCTCAATGAACAGCATCAGTGTTAACCAGGAATGTATTTTCCTCACTCTCAGTGCACTACATGCTTCAGCCTAGCATCCACTTTTGGAGTCACAAAAGCTTCTTTGTACAATTTGCCTGTGTTGCCCTCGTGTACTTGGCTAGGCAAGGCTTGAGCCGCCTGAGAGAGATAGACTCACCTGTACGTAGTCGACACTTCTTCCCAGGGCTTTGAAGGCGGTGTACATCACCTCCCTCTTCCCGCCCCACTTCTGCATGATGCACACACACTTATTGTTGAGAACCAGGCGAGAAACGTGCTGCAAGCTCTCAGCATACGATTCTTCGGTTTCCTCCGTTCCTTTCTGGTGGTAGTTGCTTTTCCAAATGTATGTGGCTGCCTTGTCCCGGCCCATGATGTCCCGAAAGATCTCCATCATGTAGCAGTCATCATCATTGTTCCCGTCGATAACCATAATAACCTTTATCCCAGGGTAGGTGAGCCTTTTCACTGATAATAAACACTTTTTCAGGTAGTTGGGGTCTTCCTGATAGGCTGCGATGCAAAGGGCCAGTGATTTGTTGAGTTTGATCGGTGTTTCCAGGGAACGTTTCATGTTCCTGTGTTCCAGTAGAGCAAACAAGCTCTGGATGATGAGGTGAACGACTAGAATTGCCCCATAAAGACCAAATGACAAGTAGTTGCCTGCAGTCGTTATGAGCTTATACCCCATGATATAAGCAGTAGAGATTCCCACAAGCAGCGAAATGCCGAACAGCGTCGTCCCAACAATCCTCAAGTAGGTGATCACTTTATCACATCTCATCTGAAAACAACAATAGGACATTGAGGGGTGAATATTTTGATTTGCAACAACTGGACCAAATACGTTCTTCTGAAGAACTGCTTTTGGTCCATACAATTAAAGTTAGAACGTCCAATGTTGTTTTGGACCCAATTTACTTTTATTGTACAGACAAAGACTGTTCTTCAGAATATCTTCTTGAACTAGTCATACAGGTTTGGAATGGCATGAGGGTGGGTAAATGAACACAATATTTTAATTTTTGGCAGAGCCATCCCTTTAAGAATAACTTCATGGACAGCACTCATAAATGAAATTAAAGCAAATGTGTGGACAGCTTTGTGGTGACGATGACAGACTTTTGCTCGTATGGAAGCATAAAATGCATGCATCTGTTCTCGCCGCATAAGTGACAGTTTATTTCAGACAGCATCGTATTTCTTCCTCTTTCCTCCTCTTCTGAATATCTGAGTGGTCTTTATGACCATTTGTTCCAAGTTTCCTTACTAATGCAGTTCCCCATCTGCTTGGCAGACGTGACTATGCAGCACCACCCTCTGACATCATCTGTTTATATCTCCGTGGGAACGCATGAACAGTGAAATTTAGATTTCAGAGGGCTCTACTAAAGACCCTCTGTCTTATTACTGCTGAACACGGCCATTGTATTAATGATGGCATCTTGTTTTATCGACTCAAATCTCGTTTCTTCTTTGATATCGTCCCTCTTGGTTTAGATTATAAAGCGGTTCTGGCCTGGGAGGGAGGTTGATATGATGGACTACAGCACAGTGTGAGTCTAACTGGCACGTGTCACAGCCTTTAACGTCATTCCGCATGTTTATGATGCCCTCTGGACCCTCCAAACCACACCTTATCCACATAGACACATGCGAGCCTGTTGGATTAAGGGTAGCATGTGGTGTTAATGTCTCAAACGCCTGTACTGCTCTCAGGGTATCCCCAAACCTGCTTTCATGTCTTGTTTAAACTCTAGATGAACCCAAACGGCTCATTTGAAAGTGCTAAGACTGCTGACAAGACAAAATGTAGCCCACACCTAAGAGGACACTAACACTTATCATGGCCGTACAGGATATCTGAAGCATCACTGTCTTTGTCGAGGACCTATTTTCTCATCTTTATACAAATTGGTAAAGGCTTTGCATCTCTAAGGATGAATGTGCAGGGTTTACATGTGCAGATTGACTCATCTTGTTGTGAATGGGGGTGTGCACCCCATTAGATAATCCCGTCGATGAAATGGTCCTGTGTGAAACATTTGCCATCAGTAGATTTTGTCTGACTGAATGAAATATGGTAATTTGGCTCGTTCACACCAAGGACGATAACTATAAAGTCATTCTATGTGAATAAGGAAGTCCAAACCACAACAATAATGATAATGACAGAGTAATGATCTTGTTGGAATTTTTTTTCAGAACGATAACCACAACAGTCAAACAGAATTCACCTAACTTTAGAACTTGAGAACATTTAATATGACAAAACTTCAGCATGCACTAATAATAAACAATGGAATCATCCCTTGTTGTGAATGCTAATATAGTTATCGTTATCTTTTTTGTTATCATTCTAGAACAACAGTTATATGTGTATATATAATGTTAATAATATATAATGTTTTTGTTTGCATTACTAGTTGCCTATATGTCATATATATTATCTCATGTATGTTATCTGGCTGTGATCCAACAGAGCAGGGAGGAGATACAAATTGTCAAGGATCACTGATAGTTGAATCATCCTCAATGGGGAAAACTATAGCTTTGAAGGTAGATGAAATATTACAGTCCAGGAAAAGTACATTCGCACTAGCCAAAAGAGACCCAGACCTGTAATGTCCCCTGAACGCCATCAGAAAATGAGTTTGCTTCTTTTATATTATATATGTATAGAAATATTATTAATTTAGAGAGGATATTTACACTATGCTTGAACATAGGGGGAGGTAGATTGTGTAGCTTAATTTGTTAGTATGAACAAAGAGGATTTGTTCATCTTTATCCTCAGATTTGGAGGAGCTTTCCTTTAGACAAAGCTTCATTTGAAACACAATAACTTGTGAAGGGCCATCAACGAGGCAGGAAATCCATGGCTCAGAGCTTAACACTCCTTTTGGTGAAATTGGATAGAAAAGTAGGGGATAATTTTTATTTAGCAACAGTGGATCCTGTGAGAGTTGTCTTCCAAAATTAGCAAAAAAGTACCTAGGTGATCTGTTGATCCTTTGTAATCTATCCTATTTTAATTTAGATATTCAAATATGAAATAATAAAAACAAATAAAATATAAAATAACTTAAAATACTCAAAAAAGAAAGATAGCTTTCAAAGACTGATGCAAACTTCCTAGCAAAGATGGTAGAATAAACTCAAGTTGTTTCACTGAAATTGTGTTGGTGGGAATTTTGGCACTGACACAAAACTAGAGACACTGCCTTGTGGCACGTCCTGCCCATCTGAGATAATCCAGTGTATTCCCAGGCATTGGAGGAAGCTTCTGCTTCTCCGAAGTGGGTGGTTCTGAGATGGTGGGGAACTTGGGGAACTGCCACGGCCGCCTCCCAGAGGAACTATCCAACCACCAGCACTGAAACACATCCATCACTCTGCCACGGCTCTGTGGTGTGGCCTTGTCAGACACTGTGGCCGCCATGTTCGCTGCTGTTCAGGCTGCTGCCGCCTGGCTTAGTGCTAAATTCTGCCTCCAGGCCTGTTTCTACCTTTCAACCTTCCAGGACTCTCATACCTCACTAGGTCTCACCTTTAGTCCAAAAAAAAAACAATGTTTTTTTAATGGCTAAGACTGTCAGAAGAAATAATGTGGCATTTCCACAAGTTGTTACAAGTGCCTTGAGGGCTAACTGCAATTAGGTTATTGTATGAACTTTGGCCACTAGAAGTCCCCTGGACTTGACACAACTCCTGCTGCCTGTAGTAGACTTTGGTGAACAGCTGGGTCTTATCTTACCAACTGGCAGCCTAATTTTCAATGACACAGTCACACATCCTGTACATTTACAACAGTAAAGTTTGGCATCCAATTATATCAAAGTAGCATTTCGGAGGTAAAATGTTATCAATGGTGGCTATAATTTTGAAATGAGAATTAGAAGCTGTAGTGCTAAGATACTGCACAGCTTTTCCCATTATATGATCAGTGCCTCATATGATAACTTTGAAGATTAGATGACTGTAAAGATACATTATGAAAATGCAAATGTTTGGGGAAACAGCTGAGAAACTATCGTTTTAAGGAGGAATTCATGTATGTTTAAGCAGCATGCAACTCATTGTTGGCATTGGGAGGTCTGACCCTCTCTAATTAAGGCTTGAACCCCCCAAAGAAAGTCAAAACAAAAGCGTGTATTCTTGTAACATACAAGTATATGTACGTTTCAGTAGCCTTTTCAAACAAACGCATAATTAGATTACAAGTTAGCCAGATCACAATACAAAAGACGCTGATGAACAAAAGTCCTGTTGGCTTGAAGAGGTTACCATGGCAATAGTAGACTGCTTGAAAGTTTAGGATTAGTTTTGGATGGTGCAGTCGAAAATTATACATATCAGTTTACACTAGGCTCTATCACTTTTTTAAAGCATTTTAGAAATAAGGACAATAAAAGGCGATAAAAATTGCTTCCTGAAATTGTGCTTACATAAAAACGACAAGTGTAGAAAAGGTTTCTGTTTAGTTTATATTATCCATTTGTTTCACATATTACCATGAAATCTCCTGAGGGAGACTACTGAAAAGCGGCATTACGCATCATTAGTAGATTGCGTCACCCTCAGTTTTATGGCTGCTGCTGGATTGCGCGCAATATCTTTTCTGCTCAGTTATTGGTCAGAGGGTCCATGGTATTTAATTAGCCTATAGCCCTGGTAGAATCGCAAATACTGAATAAATGTTTTAAATATATCAAGCTGACATTGTTTAGTAACCTCACTGTTATTGAGGAAATAGCATTTGTATAAATGTAAAAATATGAAACCTGTCAGAAAGAGCAGCTGATGTGCACAGGCTTACCAACAAAGATTCAAGAGAAGCAAACACGAAGTAGGCTACATGAATAATATTCCAGATAAAATATCTGCTGTTCTTTATCAGCTGTACTGTCGAGTCGTGTTATTCAGAAATATGGTGAAATTAAACAGGCTGCTACAACCTGTTGGACTTTGAAAAAATTGGCACGTGAAGGTATTGCAATCACTTATGGCTGAACTCCGTTCATTCAAATGTACCCCCTACCCTTCTGATTGTTTAAAATAACTCTGTAGCAACATGAAATGCATGCAAAGAAACTATGCACCTAACAGAACAACGTGTATCATTCGAAAGAGTTACCCATTAAATGAATCATGATCATACAGTACCTTGGAGCAGCTGTGTGGAGATGTCCCGTTAGTTTAACAGGGATGCTGTCCGACGAGGCTCTGCACGCTCCAGACACTGGACAAAACTTCCAATGCAAGTTTTTGGGTAAAATAGAGAAGACACCGGCATGGAGCATCTAAAAACAAAGATGTGCAGTATCCACGTTTTCCATAAAACGAATGAACATTCAAGTTTCTCGCCTCCTCCAACACATTATATAGTGTAGTTTGCATCAGTCTGCTGTGATGAGGTCTGTTGGAGCATCTTGGCAGTTCATTCTGACGTTGTCAGCTGTTAAAAGAATAAAAGTTATCCAACAGTAGCCAATGTTGGTGACTAAAAATGCAGCTCATTCAAGTTTTTCCAAGCATACAGGTTGAAGCAGTGAACTGTCCTTTTCTGCGTCTAATTTCTTCCAGACGCTTTAACTTTATGCGTCCGGTAAGCCATACATTTGTAAGACTCGTTTAACCGGGCAGGGGTTTGGACTTGTTTTAATAAGGGGGTTGGTTCGGGGGCGAGGAGGAGTGAACATCTAAGAGAAAAAAACTGCTGCCCATTCAAACTTCCGAAATGGGGGTGGGTATGAGTTAATCAAGCATTTAGCCAAACAGTCTTCTGCTAAAAAACGGCAAGCTGTGGAGATATTTCTAAAAAAAATAAAAAAATAATTATAACATTAAATTATTAAAACTATTAATTATGAAATAACAATTACTAGGAATAACTATGAAAAATAAATGAATTAATTCCTACCAAATGCATACAAACAAGAAATGTGTTTTGGAACATTCTGAGTATTATTTACCTAAATGCATTAAAAATCAGTCGCTAATTTGCCAATTTCTAGTAAAATACAGCTAATCAAACACGCCTGAGAATTTTTTGATGGTCATTGATTCTCAGTGGTGCTTGTGATTGTGAGGGCAGGAGGCGCAACACACATATTTACCACAAGAGTGCGCCACACAATTCTAAATCTGTTCACATTCACAGCAGTGAAAGTTGATTTGCAACACTGATCACTGATGCAGATTCCAGTGTGGGCCAAAATCAATGTAACAATGTATTTGATATGCATATGCATATTATGTTGTTTTATTTTTCTTTCTTTCTTTCTTTCTTTCTTTCCATGAAAACTCACAAATAGATCAGTATTGAGCAATCTTTCACTCAGCACAAGAACATCAGCAATTCAAAAAATGAATAAATAAATAAATCAACAAGTAACCTATAGCAAAGTAACCTACACATTTGTTCATTATTTGTTTATGTCCGCTTTGCTTCTTTCCACCAATTCCCTACTAGGTTCAAAAGAGATTTTCTGCCCAGCAGGGACAGCACGCGGACAGGCTTTGGTAACGGTCCATTCATGTGAAAAGGCAGTTTCTTATGTGTTAATTTGGGCCACTGTTTATTTGAACAAGGATTCATGGTAATGGTCCAAATAAGCAACCGGACTGGGGAAGAGGATGGCAACCTCTGATATGTGTCTCTGTAGGATAAAGCATGGCAAACACAATGGTTTCACAGTTGGGGTTTCTTTGACCCTTAACTGACTTTGATGAAGAGCAACCACATGTTTTGCTGACTCATTTAAAAAAGTGTAGACTTCTAGTGTCTAGTACAGTACGGCATTGTGTTCCATACGTATGGATCTTATCCTGTCAGGCACCCCAAACATCACCTGGGGTCGTGTGCCTCTTGGGGCTAGAAATCTGAGATAACTCACTTTTTAGTTTTAGTTGAGTAGACGTTCATGGTTTTTCTTGATTTCACTTGGAACAATGGCTTCTTGAGAGGCCATGTGCAACTCATTTTGCATTTTGTTGAGATCAAAGACACTGATATTGTTATTGTTCTCTGTGTGTTTAGATCTTGAACATGAGGAGATGGGTTTAGATGCTTCCACTGGTAGTTTCAAATGCTGAGACGTGTTAGGTGCCACTTCTACTATAGTTGGCTTCTTTCCAATATCAGCTTCTACATTTACTCAATATCAGCCCAGAAATCATCTACACAACCTTTTTCTCTCTCAGTCAAATTTTTCGACATCTAGGGTGGCGGCGGACAGGAAAGAAAGTTAAGTGTGCATGAACAAAGCCCCAGTCATTAAGACTGATTGCTGCTTATCTGCTGCTCATGCATTATGTCTCCCCTCAGGACCCCTTTAGACTGGCCTTAATTTGTATTTAAGATAGTCCTGCTCTTTTACCAAAACCACAAGTGTTAAACAAATATGCAATTTAACAATGGGTAGATTTTAAGGTTTGTTGGAGGCTGATCCTCACCCCCTTTGAGATGATTGCTCAATTCCTCACTACTGAAAGCAATTCTTTACTGAAATACATAATTGTGAATAAATGCAAAAAAATAATAAAACATTTTATTTAATTGAATAGATGTCATTAAGGCCTTTTCACAACATTCCAAGTGAAATAATTTGTTTTGTCAAGGAAAACTGATCCTCGGTTTATATTACTATGAGAAATGTAAGTGCTTGAAATATTTTCTATAGTCTGTCTGTCTGTCTGTCTGTCTGTCTGTCTGTCTGTCTATCTATCTATCTATCTATCTATCTAATGCCTTTATTTAATATTTTTTTATAAATAAGGCTTTGTCAAGCCAACAAATATATTTAAGTTTAATTTTTGTTGTTAAAAGTTACAGTTATTTACATTTATTTGAATTTCAGGCCATTTTTCAAACCATCAATCCAATTCCCATTCATTTTCAATATAGATGAATAGATGTCATTAAGGCCTATTTAAGGCTTTGTTAAGCCAACATTCAAAGATTGTTGTTAGAAATGACAGTTATTTAAATTGCCATTCATATTCATTATAGATGAATAGATGTCATTAAGGGCTATTCACAACATTCCACAGAAGAAAATTTGTTTTGTGAAGGAAAAATGATCCTCATTTATTTAGTTTATATTCAAATTATTCTACAAAATGTAACCTCTTCAAATCCTTTTTTGAATGATCTACACTCTTAAAAATAAAGGTGCTTCAGGATGCCATAGAATAACCTTTTTTATGTAAATGGTTCCATAAAGAACCTTTAACATCTGAAGAACCTTTCTATTTCACAAAAGGTTCTTTGTGGTGAAAGAAGGCTCTTCAGATTATAAAAGGTAAGAAAGAGATGATTCTTTAAAGAACCTTTGACTATCTATCTATAAACCTTAAACCTTTCTTTCTAAACTTTCAAACAAGGTTTTGTCACAACAATAACATTAAAATATTGTAATTTGGTATTTTTCGTTATGCTTCTGTACAATTAAATGTAACTAAATAAGGTAAAAAAAAAAATCAATTCAAATCACAAGAAAAATCCTGAACGTTACCTCAATCCTTATTCAGGATTTCATAAAAAGCATTTCTCAGTGCATTTCTGATTGACACACAAGCCTTGCTGAGATGATGATCAGAGATTATAATGTGGATTGAAGTAACTCCAGTTTGTAAGTGAAGATTGTGCCTTCTGCTCCCTTGAGCAAGCGCTCTGTATTGACAGTGAATACTGTGCGAGTAATGAGGGGAAGTGCCTTTTGAACTTTAAAGCAAAGCACCTTACTCACATTTTCCAAAAGTGCATCCGGTGGCTCGGCTATCATCTGTGGTCAATAACTGGCCCTTTCACTGAGAGGTGATTATCATCAGACGATCAGACGTGGGAGAGCTGCGCTGAGAATGAGGGCATTGAGCACAGAGTGTGCCTCTACAACATGTGTTTCCTCAGTGTGTCACTGTGCGTGTGGGGGTGCACGTGTGTGTTGTTTGTGTGTGTGTGTGTGTGTGTGTGTGTGTGTGTGCGTGTGAGAAACAGAGTTAAAATCAGGTCCACTACACTCCACCCTGTCTGTTTTGCAGTCTCCATGGTGAGTGACGTTAGCATGGTACCGAACAGAATTAAGACAAACTGATTTCATTATAAAAATGTAATTTGAATATTCTCCTCTTTTCAATATGCTTCAGAGACAGAATGTGATGTAGGGTCACCCTTAAAGAAATATTCTGGGTTCAATACAACTTGAGCCAATCATCAGCATTTGTGGTGTAGTGATAGATCAAGATTAGCATATTAGCATATTTACTGACAAATCGCTTGAGACTTAAACTATATACTTGACTATATAATTAAACTTTATTTGGAGTACTACTTGTGCACAATGTACGTTTCCTAATATTAAGCCTAAAATGTGTTTTCACTATTGATGAGGACTGTACGATCTTTGAATAATATCGGTCTTTGATTGCAAAATACCTGAACTAAAGTATACTAAAGAAAGGAAAAGTCAAAATGTATATTTGAGGCAATCAACATTATCATTTTAAACCTATTCAATTATTAAACCCAGAATATTCATTTAATCAAAGTTTTCCTCATTGAAGCATGAAGAAATATTAGCCTACTTGATATTTTGTTTTACTGTTTACGCACTGAACCAAGAGTTTTCCTATCACTGGAAATAAAAGTGATCTACGTGTTTATTATTTTTGGCTTTTACATCCCATACTTTTTCTTCTGCTGTTGCCGTACATTGTCATTACATGGAGAAGGTCATTAGGCTAAATAATACAGACTATTTATTGACTGTAACATGACATATTTTGCTTTGATGGGCAAAATACCAAATTACACACCAAAACCACATGGACTGGATAGGACCAGGGAGCTGTAGATATTAGAAGTTTCACTGGGGTGACTGAAGGTGGATCGGTTTCTTTGTGTTCATCATGGAGTTAATGGAGCTTAGGGGGTCACAAAGTTAACCACAGCTGCTTGGGCTGACAGGAAATGCGAGTGCTTCTGTTTATAGTCTCACTTCCACATTGAAGCACTTCTCTAGGCTTCAAGGCAGCTTTACTGCATGAGTATCCTGCCTGTAGGCTAAATACTTACGGCTCTGGCCTTCGCCAGCACAATTAGATGATTTCTCATAGAGCACTGCACATTTTCACAAAGATTATAGCAAACACCATTGATGCTAATAGCGTGATGACTCCTGTAAACGGTTGTCATGAAGCATATCATCCAATTACAAAGCCAGCCCCTTGTGTTCTTGCATTAATAGGCTGAGAAAGATGGATTGGATATGAGCAGGAATGCCCTTGTATGGAGAAAAAAAAGTATATTTCATATTTTTGGAAAGGTTTATATTACAGTTTTTTAAAATAGCTTAGACACTAAAAGTAATACTTGAGGCCCACTTAGTGGAACCATTCACTCATATACCTAATCTTTAGACCAAGTCTGCAAAATTATAAACACATTACATGCTTTAAACTCTGTTTGATATTGTAAAACAAATTTTTTTTGCAAAACTCTAAACATAGTTCTCTACATTACACACATAATTCGAAACTAACAGCTTTTTTTGTTTAATTTGGGAAACACTGCCATTTTAATGTTACACTCATTTACTGATGACCTACACATAGT